CTTACTGTTTCACTTTCGGAAATTTAAAAGGGCCATACGTCGGATCAGCATCAGGATCTAAAGACTGCAACTTTTTTGGCCAAAACACGTCCACCCAGTCAACTTTCCTGATTAAAGTAGGAGCGCTTACCAATTCTTCCAAAGGACAATGGGAAAATTCTAATGAGAGCACATTCAGTAACTCGTTCCGTTCTTTGACGTCTGTCCTACAAATAAAAAAAGGCTTTAACATCTAAACAAAAAAATATCACAAGAACTGGTGATATATCCAAAGAAAAGTTGGCGTAAGTGAAAGAGGGTCAACATGTGAAAAACGAAAACAGCTTAGTAACATACTTATAATAATTAATGAAATCATCAAGTAACATCTGTCGACTTCCTTGGGACCTAACCTCTATTACTTCGATATTACGGCTGCCACCGACCAGCTTTCTGACATTCTCGACGTTGAACTTATTCGGATCGGGCATTCTGCAAACAGTTAAAAAAAACAGACTTAGGAAAAAATAAGCTTATATTAAAAGCCACATAGTACCGATTTTGCGAAAATCATCAAAAAATACGTTAAGCCTCAAAAATCAAACTTAAAATCGAATTTCGAAGGCGGATCCCTGATGAGAAACGGTTTACTCAAACCCGTATTGCGAATTAAATCCATATTGAAGTCTGCAATATATAAATCATTAACTGGAACAAAAGTTTTTTGGTGTATCATGGTCTACCTAGTCAAGCAATAACCGTAGTTGCATTTGTTATGAAAGAATATATATATTTTTTTTACATGATGAAAAATGAATTTTAGCAAACAAAGGTACCGACCAAGTCAAGACTTTGCACCAGCTCCAGCGCAAATGTTAAAGAATAAAAAAAAGCGCACTAGCGACAGAGCGGAAAGAAGATGAAGCAGGGTAAAACCGCCATACACTCTTCCAATTACTTGTCAATCTTTTCTTTTTCAAGAAAACGCTTAAATTTCCTTCCCAAATTACTCACAGTGTTCCCAAACAAAGTGTACAAAATGCCAAGCACTAAATTTCAACTTCCATATTTACAAGAAATCTCCATGACAATCAATTCGAAAAAACTACTCAGAATCAAAAGAATTTTTAATACCAAAAAATGTTACCTTTAGCACTAATAGTGTCATAAGTATCTAAATGTTTATACTCCTCCTTTTCCAACGCTTCTTTAAGATCATAACTCCACCTTGTCGCCAAATTTTCGTCGTTGATGGAACCCTCATCAGAATCAACAATATCATCACCCGAATGACGTGCCACCCGACGCTAAAAGTGAATTGAGGACCAAAAAAAATGTTTAATATACGTGCCAATTCAAAGTCCCTTTAAATTAAAAACACTAAGTAAAAATTATTCTCATGAAATACCTTCCTTCCTGATCTCTGTGTCCTAGTCCTGTCTGTTCGTGCGCCAGTCATAAAAGCTAAAATTAAACACTCCAAATTCACAAATACGACCAAAAAAGTAATGGTATAGAAGCTATAAAATTCATGCAAACAGCATTCAATAAATTCTTATCCTACTAGCCAAAAAAGTGAAACTAGAGAATAAAAAAAATAATTCATTCTGGAACGGATTATCCGATGTAAGTCCAACAAAAATTTTTTCAGAAATTATCATAAAAATTTAAAAATGAAGGGGAAATTTGACAATTGTAAGGTACCAAATGAAACCTTTAAAAAACTAAATCCCCATTAGCCTACTTGCGTAATTCCCGGTTCCACCCCACAACAAATGCAGTGAATATATAAGCCAAGATGACTATAAAGAAAAAAAATTTAAAAAAAAGATCAACATCAGAACAGCTGAAATTACTAAAACTAATTTAAAAAACTCTAATAACAGTTTACTAACTAAACATATAAAGCTCCTGTTCAAGAGAATCCCAGTACTGAAAAGACCTTCTTTTAAAGTCATGAACATTTAACACAGCGAAAATAAAGTTCAATGAACATAGATATGGCTCGAACGAGGACCTATTTGCCATGTGAAACCGTTTGCAAGTGCGTATTCTAGTTTTGTCGCTGGGAAGCTGCACTGTTTCATTTTTTTACACTTCTTGGATTCTTTTGCTACACTCGTCTAAAAAGGTCGGCCTATCTAGGATACCAGCAAAAAAAAATTTCTTTTTCATTGCAGATGTATACGACCATAAAAGTTCCGTTGGAAATGTATGATGGATTCAATTATTTATTATTAACTTGAAAGTCAAAAAAAAAAAAACTAAGAAGTAACTTATAAAGAAAAGCTGTTGTATAAAAGTAACTATTATTCGACAACTCACTGAACAATTCAAAATGCTGTTAATCAACAACAACTGCAGTAGCAGTATCAACAGCAACAACAATAACTCAACTTAAGAATATGACTGTATCACTGTGATATTTCGCCGCCAAAAAGATAAACATTGTTAAGCAGCAGCGGCAGCTATATTTTGCATCATTAATAAACAATGTTCAAAACGGAACTTATACGAGTATATCTTTAGAATATACTGCT